AGGATATACAGAGAACTGGCCAACAGAGAACAGAGTAGAATAGTGGTTACCAGGAAAAAGGATGAAAAGAGACTGAGAAAGGGGGCATTACTGTTTAAGAAGCACTGAGTTTATGGGGATGGAAAATCTGATAACAGTCACTGGCAAAAAAGAAAAAAAAAGTCACTCTCAATAGTTACACACACACAAAAAAATAGTTACACACAATTGATGTAAATGATCTCACTTAATTGTATACATCTTTACCAATCTATCAACTGTTAAGGTGATAATTCTCTGTGCTCAGAATCTTGAAGAACGAACTCTAAACCTAGAACGTGGAGGGTCAATATTGCCAGGAGGGACCAGTCTTTGGAGAAGGACATCATGGTTGGAAGGAGGAAGGGACCGTATAAGAGAGCAAGACCTAGCAGGAGATGGAGTGACATAGTCATGGGGTTTCAAAACCAGTACGATTGGCTTAGGCTAGGACACATTCAGTTATTGTACAGAGGGTTGCAGGCAACTTGACAGCACATACCAACAATGCCCTTGAGAGGCCAGACCATGTGCTGAAACAAGGTCAGACAGGCACCTTATCAGGACAGCCCCCTGGACAGCTGTGACTTCAGAAAGGACCTTACATCCCCCACCACAAGCAGGCAATGCTAAAGCTCGGGTTCAATTTCCTCCTTCAATCCTGCTCTTATTGGAAGATGTTGTCCTGCTGACTGTCCTTTTGAGGATCATGGCCTCTCTGTCCTACCTTAGCTCCCAAATGTCTATTCTGCCCAATCGGCCCTTCAGAGGTGTCACAGCTGATGTGGTCTGGCACTTTCCAAAAGTCACTCACTCAGCCTTGAAAACCCTATAAAACAAGTTCTTTTCTGCCACACCTAGAGTTGCCACCGGTTAAAGTCAGCTTGATAACAGCCAAAAACAGTTTGTCCTTGTGTGAACTTCCAGGTTCCAGTCACCTCAACTGCAAGCAGGTGACACTCACCGAACATGTTGTGCTTTTTATTACATCGCTGTGAGCCTCACGCCTCTCCTGCACACCCGCACTCAGTCCATTGGTCCCTGACACCTGATGCACATACACCAAGTTCCTGAAAACAACATTTTGAGCCACTTTATATCTGGAGTTTCTAGCTAAAATAGGTCTTTTTTTCCCTTCTCCTTGACTGACCTCTTATAAGAGGGACAAACAAGGCTATCTTCGAGTCACCTTCTCTCTTCAAATTCCACAATTTACCACCTAGACGGTCTGCCTCCTCTGTCCGCAATTCCACCAGAAACTCGGCGTTTGCTTTCTCCAAGAGGCTGCCTATGACGTCCTCCATGCCTTCAGTGCCTCTTCTCCTGACTGCTGCCAATTTCTCGGCCTGACTCTGCCTCTTTCCTGACCTCAATCTTTGATATTTTCTTTTAACTGCATAACTGCCTGTGCGATCATCTGGCCTTCTAATGACCGCGGACACCAATCGTACTCCACAGATTCCATGTGCTGGCTGAGACCAGAAGGGTCAGTGTCTCAAAGGACATCAGGACTCCTCCTCCTTCATTCTCAGGCCTGTTACCCAGGGAGCCTACAGGCAAGGCCTCCCGAAGATGGTCTTTAGGTGCAACATAGGGCCAGGAAGAACTCATGAAGGTGTTCCAAGATGAACCTCTGCTCTCAGGTATGCGTTGTCCTTGCACTGTGCTCCTTAGAGACCACCTGACCTGTTCTGGGGTAGGGCTCAGCTATGATGTTCTTCAGGTGCAATGGTGGGGGGACCCTGGTAGCTGCCCTGGAGAGCAAGAGTGGACTAGAAGGTGAGAAACAGCAGGCAATGCCTAGCAAACACTAACCTCTCCAGGGAGACTCTGAGAAGCAAACCAGAGAGGCTGGAAGTGTGCTGGGGCTTTGCATGCCCCTCCACCCTCCACCAGGGCTCTACCCTGCTTCCAGAAGCCTTTTTTATTCTCCCTGCAGGCCTTCCTACTACGGGCAGTCCTCCCAGCCCAGCCCTCCTTTCCAGCAGCGCCAGCGTCTTTGTGGCCTAAACGCGAACTTGAACCAGCTCTCAGAGTTGGTCAGTAGTTCTCAAACCTGAAATTTGCATTTGAGGTTGTGGGGTTGCTTAGGAAAAATAAAGAAGACTCTTGGAACCTCTTTAAGAACCGAGATGTTGCTTGTTGGGTCAAGACAGGGGCTGATTACAGAGCTCATCCTCACCCAGGTTCCAAAGATCAGGACAGTTTAAGTTGACTCTGGCCAGACACAAGCAGCTCACCCATGCATCAGATTCCAGAACCGTAGCCTGTGGCAGCCACTGTTTCTGATCTAGCTCATCGAGGGTCTTATTTATTGCAGAACCACTTCCAACCATGATGTAATTATCCAGGGAGTGATTTCTCCTGATAACATACCCGAAGTATGAGACAAGTCAAGTGCAAAACACTTGTACAACTCAGGGGCCTAAAAAAATTAGAGTTTGGAACGGTTCCTGCTGGTAGCTCAGCCCATAGGGTGTTTCACTGCTAACCCAGAGGGTCAGTCTCTCTGGCAGTTGGAATCTACCAGTGGGTCTGAGGGAGAAAGACAAACAGTCTCCTCCTGGATAATTCACAGCCTTAAAAACCCAATGGAGGGTCAGCACTGAGTCATTCCTAATTAGAAAACAATGAATTTGAACTTGGTACCACACCAACATTTCTATTATTCTTTTTCTAACAGCAGCATCAATAGCTTACTGAGGATGCACAAGTGACTTTACTGGGATAGGGTCTGCCAAGAAGAACAGAGGCTGTGAATGGTTCCAGCAACAGTAAAGGCTTGTTAGGAGGGAGGAGTGGGGAAGGTGCTTGGGACCAAGCAATGAATATCCAAGGGGAGAATAAAAGCCCAGTGCTTCACCACCTTGATCTTTTATAACAACAACAACAAAATACCTACACTGAGACACTCATTCATTACCTTTGATCTCCTCTCTAATTTCCAGTGCCTGGAAACTGGTGTCCTTGAATTCCATGCTGACTCCATCTGTGCAGTAACGTTCAGGAGAGAAAGGAAAGCCAGGCCTTCCTTATAAGAGGCTAAAGAAGCTGCTGAGCTATCCTCTAAAGACTTCTAGTGGGGGCCTCTGAGATCACCTGGGCCCCAGGACTCTGCCTCACCCAACACCAGTGCATACAGGGTGTGGAGATTCCAAGACCTTGTTAATCTCTGTTCCTCACACCCCCGCCCACAGCCCCTCTTCAGAAGAGGCTGTCTCTGCCTTCACTTCTCAGAGCCCTGGTCTCCCACAGTAGATCAACAACACCCCCTCCCCTTACTTTTCCTCCGCAGTCAATGCCTCACTATTTGGGTGGTTCTCTGCCCCTTTCCCGCGCTGTGAGCCCCAGCAGCTCGGGACCTGCAGGGGTCTAGGGACTGGTTCCTGGGGTGGTGAGTGCCACAAGTTCCTTATTTCATCCTCAGGGAAGCAGAATGGAAGGTGGGCGTATACTTGGCTCACCTGTGCCACTCTAGGCTGACCTCTGCCCGCCTGCCACCCTTTCCCACCCAAACAGGTAAACTGGATTCCTCTAGACACCGCTATCTGCCCTGAAGTTTTAAAGCTTTGAAAGGCGAAGCCATCAGGTTGTGCCCTAAGTCAAGGTGGCCTGCCTTCACCTTGCTCCACCTCTCCAGGCCACCCAGCTTCAGCATCCCTCAGGGACAGAAACCCGCAAACCTCTGAATCAACAGACAAAAACCTTCAGTTTTTATAGCCGGTGGATAGGTGAGCTGCCCAACAGCGTCCCCAGCCCGGACCACAGGCAGTAGAGCAAAGCGCCCAGAAGCTGGGTCTTTCCCCCAGCGGGCACTCTTGGGACCACAATGGTTTCTCCCAGTGCAATCTAAAGCAGATCGTCCAATGGGTCATAGCTGTCCGGTAAGCCCTCCGCACGTATCCTCCCCCCACCCTCCGCCCCGGTCCCCCTACATCATTGCAAGTTTCCAGTTTCCCCGGAGCTCAGCAGAAACCGTGGAGCAGGAGTTCAGGTAACACTCTGGGCTGCAGAGATTTTCCCTGAACAAAGAAAAGAACCGAGGAACTTTCTTCGTCTCTAAACGAAGAGTAAAACTCCCGGTTCCCAGAAGAGGATGCAGAGACCAAGGACAGCTGGCGGGAGAGAGACTGCTCCAGTCGGGGGACCTCACCTGCCGCCTTCTTGCGCCTTCTACCAGGGCCACTGGCCGCGGATCACCATGACAGCCGCCCGACCACGAGAAGGACGCCCGTGGCCCACGCACCTTGGGCTAAAGAGAGACTAGCCCAGTGTCCCCGCGCCTGGAGTCCCCCCGCAGGGCACGTGGCACGGCTGCTCCCCGAGCGCTCCCAGGGCGCCGCCACGAGACGCACCTGCCCGCTCTGCTCACGTGCGCGTCGGCTTCGCCCTCCACTCAGCGCCCAGAACCCGCAGCCTACACCCCCGGATTTAGGGACAGCGGGTCGTCTGCTCGTGCCCCGTACCTACCGCGCTTCGAGCGGTCGCCGTGGTGCTCTCTTCCCCTCACCCTTCCTTCTCCTCCGCAGCTTCTTTCAGGAAGCCTCTTCTTTCAGGGCCGGCTCCTGGGTCGTCTGCCCTCCCCCTGTTCTTCCCTTAAATCTCGGGAGGCGGTGTCTAGGACCCAGGATGACACGCCCCCAGATTCGTGTCACCTCGCAAGGGGGGCGGAGACCCGGCTGGAGTGAGCTGCAGCCCCGGGGCGGGGACCAGCGCGGGCGGAGGAGGAGGTGTTTCCCGCAGGGAAACCAGGGACCGGCCCCCACTCCTCGCCAGCTCACGGGGGTGCAGGCGAGGGGTCTTAAAGGAGCGCTCAGAGCCGCTTCGCCACTTCACTCTCCCTCGGGCTGAGTGAACACATAGGTTGGTTTCCACTCTCTCTAGGTTGAGGGAGTCGCAGGTCTCATGGAGCCCCAGGCTCCAAGTTTGCATTAAGGTGGATGGTCCTGGAGACTATTAAGTCCTGGAAGGCCCTGAAGCTGCTACTTCACCCTGGCCTCCAGGAAACCCGCGTGGTCTTCGTGTAGAAGGCGGCGAGGACCCAGAATCTGCCCCAACGGATGCAGCTCCTGGGGAGGAAAAAACCTCCCTAGCCCGCTGGGATAATTGGGATGGGAGTGTCAGAGACAGTGTGATTGGCACAGGACAGAGCGAAATTTAGGGCTGTTGTACATAGGGTCGCTATGAGTTGCAAGCGACTCCAGGGCACGAAACAACAACAACAACAACAACAGCCCGCCTCAGCTAATCTGTTGGCCCTGAGTTCTCAAGCCCCTCCTCGGGGCGGCATGTACCAAGCCAAGCCAAAGGACCTCTGTGGAGGAAGGGGATGAGTAGACCTCAGAACAAAAGGACTCCTCCTGTCCCCCTTGCTTCAGATGCTTTTCAGCATGCAACACCATGGTAGCCTCTCACTTTATAATGCATTCGAGTTAGGACAAACCATACTTAGCAACAAACCCACTACCCTTGTTCCTTGATATTTGTTTCCTTTGTTATATCTTATGTTAGTAATATGTACTACATAATAATGTTGCAGCTTAATATGCTGATGATGATAGTCTCATGCCAATTCCCAAAGGGAAATAAAAGTGGGATTTATAAAAATACCAGTTATGTGCCTTAGTTTTCTAGTGTTGCTGTGAACAGAAATTCCATGAGTGAATGGTTTTAACAAACATTTATTCTCTTGCAGTTTTGTTGGTAGAAAACCTTGGCTTCCATTCCAACAAAGTAAAGCCTTGCCTGGTCCTGCGGGGTCCTCACACTCTCTCCTGTGCTCATGGAGCCCATTGTTGTAGTTACTGTGGTGCTCTATCTCATCTGGCATAGTCTTCTTTTTACCAAGCATGCCGTGTTTCTCGAGAAACTGGTCCCTACTGATATGTATGTAAGATAATTGATCTTTGAGCTGTGGTGCTGGAGAAGAGTGTTGAATATACCATGGACTGCTAGGAGAACAAACTGGTTTGTCCTAGACAGGGTGAGACCAGGCTGCTCCTTGGAGGCAAGGATTCTGAAGCTTTGTGTGACATACTTTGGACATGTTGCAAAGAGGACCAGTCCTTAGAGAGGGACAGCATGCTTGGGAGGGTGGAGGGACAGTGCTGTTGTTTTTATGTGCTGTCCAGTCATTTGCGACTCATAGGGACCCTATGCACAACAGCCCTAAACCCTGCTCTATCCTGCGCCAACCGCACTGCCTCTGACACACTCGTCCTGATTACCCCAGTCACCGAGTCAATCCATCTCATAGAGGGTCTTCCCCTCCTGCGCCGTCCCTCCACCCTCCCAAGCATGATGTCCCTCTCCAAGGACC